TAATCACAAGTATGAACGGGTTCATACACGACTCACCAACGGTCTAGAGAACTAATAATTGAACTATGAACCACTAACTTTTTTCAGCTCAATGTCGATCCCAATTTAAAATAAATATATATGGTATTACTTATTAGAAAGTCTTCATTTTCCACTATGGGATTTGATATGTGTAGATATATAGCTAAACATTCCACGTATATTTGTTGAAAATCCTAGCCCGGATGAAAAGAAAAACTCTAGAGAGAAGCAAAAGGAATACAAACTTCCAAACTCATATATACGTCATCCATACCCTACCATAATCAATGGGTCTACTTGGGTTTAGGTAAATATCATTTACTAGCCAAAATTTTCAAAAAAAAATTTAATTAATTTTATGTTATCTCTTCTTATTTAATATTATATTGTCGAGTCAATATTACTAACAAAACTGCTAACGAAAAATTAATTTTAGACTAATAATACTAACAAAACTCCATAACAGGCCGCATAAATACATAATACATGCCTATAATGCATCTCCGTCCCGCGACAAGGCACGACATCTCCACCTAGTAATATATTAATCTTTTGTAAATAGTAGTTTTCATATCACAACCAGAAAAAGAGTAGCCCACAGATTTGGTCCCTAAAAAAATGCAATCAAGCGATGGATTTTCCTTAAATGCATGATAGAATAGATTTGGATACCAAATTCATCATCGAAATCCACGAAGCAAATGATGCCTAAAAGATATCTATAAGAATGTGATTGGTGTGGATATTAGCAACTAAAATGATAAAACTTCATATTATAAAATAAAAACTACAAAAAAGCATTTTATTGTACTATGACCTCTATCTCTACGAGCTTTGGTGGAAGTGAAGGGAAGTCTATGGCATTTTGCAGCCGTTGTGGCTTTTCCCGTTCCCGAAGTGGTTCTTTCCACATTCCTCTCGTTTGGAGGAGGATTTGTCCGGTTCCTTCACTAGATCTTCTAGATCTGGTTTGGCCCTGCTCTGTTCTGGGTTCAGAGGATGCAGATTGGGTTTCTATCCAAGCGTGGTGTGGTCATCTTCTCTTCCTTTGGGGTGATTGCATTCACCGATTCCCCATCCGTCGTCGCTCCTCGATGCTTCGACTGACTGTGGGGGAAGCGGTGTCTCCTTCGATTGCTGAGGCGGGTGATCTTTGGTTGCAGTTGTTATGAGATTCATGCAGGGTTTCGTTTGTTCCTCTTTTTGTTTGTTGTTGGGAGTGTTGCTGGGGCTGCTTCTTTGGGTTCTGGGTTTGGGTTTGTTTTGGGGTTCTCTGTTGGTGTTTGGTTTTGCAGGTGGTCTCTGTTCTCGGTTCTGCTTTGTGTGGTTGTCTTTCGACCCTTGGGTGAATCTCACACTACTGTTTCTTGGCTCTCTTCGTCCCGGTCCCGTTGGCCTTGTTTTCAGCTCTGAGCAGCCCGTTCACTGTCCTTTCCACCGCCGTGCAATCCCTATTCGGCGATTCACTGTGATGGGTGTCTTTGAACAACCCCCAGCAGGCGGCATATGATTTAGCAATGCCTTTTTCATGGTCAAGACTGGTTTGGGTGAGCTGAAGATGCTGTGTTCCACTCTGGTTGATGTGATTACAAAGTTTGCTGATTCCTGTGTTTTGGCTCATGGAAGGATCCCCTTGTTGTTTCTGTTCTTGTTGTGTTGCCTTCTGTCTTTTTTGGCTTTTTCCTTGTCGGAGTTCTCTGGATGTTTGATGTTATCTGCTGGTTGGTTTGGGTTTCCTTTCTTGTTTGGAGTTTTTTCTTGAAGCTGGATTTCAGGGGTTTTCCTCTTCTTTGTAACTGTGTTCCATCCAAGTGAAATACAAGCATATCTTTGTCAAAAAAAAAAAAAGGGAAATCATAACAGGATAACACAAAAGGCAAGAGGTAGGTGGCATTTTGGATGAAACATGTGTCCCTCATCCAATGGAAATATGAAAGTAATCGGTTGAAATCCAAAAGGTTATAGTAATTAATATCGATATTTCATCAACAAACTCATGTTTCCAATCCCCTTTACCTTCTCCGCTAAATTCTCTTTTCGCTTTCCTACCCGTTGCTTCTTCAATTGAATCCATCGTTATATCTATGCACGTCATCATAGTTTTCCATGATGTACATGATTCAGTTGGTGGTTGTTGCTCTCAACAGCCCGCAACTAGTATAGCACTTGTAATTTTTTTATTTTTGGTAATCGTTTAAGTGTTCATCGAGGTATGATCCAACACACTCTGCCTCTTTTCAAAACGTGGCCAGTGCTCTACCCAGTTCTGGATCTGTCGCTGCATCGATTCCGTTAGGTGGTCGTGCCAGAGCTTTGCAGCAGCCATAGTCGCTTCTAGATGCAAGAGGAATTTGAGGAGCAGAGACTCAAATCTCATATTGTATTTCCCATAAGGATCCCTAAACTCTATATTTGGAGGATTGGCGGCAATTTTTCTATGTTCTGCTTTTGCATGCATTGATGGTTAACTATTCTAGAAGATAGGGGAATTCTTGGAGATTAAAATCTCCTGTTTGATCCCTAAATTTCGTAGTAGGAGGTTTGGAGGCGAATCAGAATATGTTATTCTTTTGCATGCATTGATGGGAGTTGGGGGTCAATGATTTCATGTACCCGAAGAGATGACAATAGAAGTCAGCAATTGAGTATAAACTTCCGACTCAATACTATTTGGGTTTACAGGTATCTTTAGTTCTCTTTATTGTATGGTCTAGTTAGTTTTAGGGGCACAGTCTTCTTTTCCCATCCCTAGACAGCAACTCCAAGGAGAGATGAAGTTTTAGGGGCACGGTCTTCTTTTTCCATCCCTTAATGGCATCTCTGACTTCTTAGAACAACGATTCTAAGACACGACTCACACCTCTTCAAACACAGTTTGACGATGAGGATGTTTGAATGATGGTTTTTGGGACAGAAACTAAATTAAATTACTCATATTCCTATGGAGGTTCAACGAGAGCTCCAAACTACTAGCTACATCTATGGCTACATGATAGAGAAAAGGGCTAATACCACTAGGAAACCCAAACTATTAAGAATGTGTCATTTGTATCCTAAAGTATCCAATATGACATTTGTGTCCTAAACTATTTTTCCGTTAGAGTTGACCGTTAGTATTTAACAAATGGCACATTCTTAATAGTTCGGGTTAGGACATAAATGACACAAACTATAATAGGTTGGGACATAAATGTCACAAAACTATAATAGGTTGGGACACAAATGTCATATTGGATACTTTAGTACACAAATGACACATTTTTAATAGTTCGGGTTTTCTAATTGTATTAGCCCTAGAGAAAAAGTAAAGGATAAACTTTACATTTGTGTTAGAGTGTTGGTTTTGGGAACCTCTATTTCTCTGTCAACCCCTCATCCTATTTATAACCATTAGGAGGTAATTGTCGTAGAAAACTGTCTATTGGATATCTGCTACAAAGAACTGCTCCCTCTTCTTTGGAGTGTTGGTTACTCCGTCAACCTCCTAGGTTCCTCTCTTGGAACTGTTGTGGGTCTAGAAGTGTAGTTTGTCTCGTCTTGTCTTGTTTCAAATCTCGTGTCATGCTAGTCTTTTGATGAGTTTGTGGTGTCTTGCGAAAGGTTTGTGGTCCTCTTGCCTAACGGTCACAGACCTCTTACTCATATCCATGGCCCTCTTGGGACATAGTCACTAGCTAGTGAAATAATGCTCCACCATCACACCCTTCTCATTCGTGTCCATAACCCCTCTCGTGAGGCGGCATGGAACTCTCACTCATTCACATGAACCCTCTCGTAAGGCGGCATGTCCTTCCCAGACTTAGTATATTTTGGGTCATTCGTTCTTGGTCATGAGGCGGCATGGCCTCTTCATTTGAAGCCATGGACTTCTCAGTCATGTATGTGGCCCTTCTCGTGACACGGACACGGACCTCCCAATCACGACACGGACGTCTCGCGGCCATGTGCAAATGTCACCGTTTTCCAACCGTGACATCCACACTAAAATGTGAAGATTGCCGAATTCCAGAGAGCCCCTTGCATATCGTGGGCGCTTGCAAATATCAAGGCCACAGATCGTGAGAATTGCACCAAGACGTGAAGATTATAAGTGAAATGGTGCAAACTCGATGGACCTCACGATTTAGCTTCAAACCTCACGGTCGTGACGGGTGACCGTGAACTTTGCACTTTCTGGCTATATAAAGGAGTAGAAATCATATTTGAGGAGGAGAGTCTAGGGTGATAAAGTGCATTTGTTGGATAGAGAGAGAAAGGGGCGAAGGAGATCACTAGGTGGATAATTAGAGCTTCAAATCACAATTGGAGTTCAAATCCATCACCAAGAGTTGAAGATTTTTTTTTTTAAGAAACCCAAGAGTTGAAGATTGAAATGCTAGAGCAAGAACCCAACCTTCTAGGACACTTTCTTCTTTTGCTTTGGTTTCTCTCTCTCTCATTATGACCTAAACTTTCTATCACTTGAGTGTTGTGGAATTCTAGTTGTATGTGTTAGATTATATGAATGATTGATTTTCTTGTTTGATTGACTCTTGATTATATGGATTTGAGGTATTTCATGAATTTTATTGGGATTGATCAAATTTTTCCAATTATGGATAACCTAAAGTAGAGAATATCCAATTAGGTTGATTAGAGCACTTACTTCATTCTTCGTTGCAGGTCGATGGATCGAGCCTGAAATCATGTCGTATTGGATTGTATTCCAATAACAAGGAATCTATTTGGCACGCCCTAGATGTTCTATTTCATCGGATGTAGAAACTCTCCCGCAAGATAGTTCGTTTTAGGCGAGGTTATAAAACTTGAAAGGAAAGCTAAAACGGGATTTGGATTCTTCGTAGTGTAAATCAGGAGTTGACGAACTTCGAACATCATTCATCAATCTATTTTGCAATTAGAGTGAAACAACACTCAAGTGACTTTCTCACTATAGTTTTGTACCAAACTTTCTTTGCTTTGTTTCTGCAGTTGATTAGTTAATTCAAACATCAATTTACTAGATAATGAAGTGGAGGGCAGCCGTCAGTTCGCCGGTAATAGATATAAGAACAGCATAAAGGGCTGAATGAGAACTTCAATGACTCATTTCAAGTTCAGAAAGTTGCAAAAGATAGATATTATTATGCGATTGATAAGAATGAGTCATTTTATGGTGTCAAAATTTCGTTGACAATATGCACTAGAAGAACTTAGCACATAGGCAAGGCTGACAGACAGACACACTCGTACCATACTCTGGGCGGTCGGGATCAGCTGTCGTTCTTAGCGGCTGCTGTCACAGCCACCATCGGTTGGTCATCATCATCTGTGCCGAAATATCTGTCTCCAAACTCCCCCATTCCTGGTACGACACGGAAATCCTCATTCAAACCCGTCTCGATCTCAGATGTCACAATCTTTATCCTTGGAAACTTTTTGCAGACTACATGAACTCCCTGGGGTGCCTGGAGGGAAACAATTGAGAAGACAATGAGCTGCTGCTACGACGAGACCATCCAAGGGAAGCAGCAACTAGAAACTAAAACATTGAAGAGGGCAACAAGCACTTACAGAAATGAGATTAAGGAATATAATGTTGGGCTCTGGCACACCCTTCCTAACGAGTAATGAAATGGCTTGAACTGCTGAATTGCCTGAAATATGCAAATGATGTGTAAGAGATGAGAAACAGGGAGACCAAATGAGGACTCAAATGATATGTAGAAGACGGTTTGACAGTTTGTATCAGACAAACCTGTTCCTAGAATGGGATCCAGTAGTAACACATGCCTATCTGCAATGTCTTTAGGTAACTTTTCGTAGATCAGCTGTTATGGCAGTGAAGCAACAGAAAATGAGTAAGGGACACGAGAATTACGCAGCCACTGACAGAAAGAAATTTGGTTGAAAGCATTTACATACATTCTGACCGTTGTCACCTTCCCTATGGATGAGAATCTTGCCTATCTTGATGCCTTTACAACATGCTCGCAAAGCATTTTCCATACTCTCACCACTGAAAATCATTCAGCATCAAATAGTAATTCAGTCTTCTACCTTAGGCATTATCTCAAGTTGAAATAAGCGTTTCAAACAAAACAACTTGACAAATTGATAACCATTTCCCTCAGAGCAGACCGCCAATGGGTGGTAGATATGCAAGCAGTGAAGCATAATCAAACTTCAATTACCTCCTGACGACTGACACGCCACACAATCTCTTGCAGAAATCCACACCCGTGTATACAGAACCTGTTTCGAAAGCAAGGAAATCTTTAAACAGACCATGAAGTAACTAAGATACCGAAACAATGACAGGTGACAGAAAGCAACTTCCTTGAAAAGCATGAGTATACACATACTATCAAGCATTTGCTTCTAGATAAAGTTACTAGCTCCCCATAAACAAAACCGATTGGGGTTAGACCTTCAAATCTAATGTTTTTTAAATTCACTGCATAATGAAGTACCGGTATATTTGACCTAAACCTGAAAGAGTTCGAACTATAACATTTTCCTATGAGTATATGAAATGCCCCCAAATAATAGATCATTCTTACAAATTAAGAAAATATCAAATAAAATAACGAAGGAAAGAGAGGGAATATAGACAAAGAGAATGGCACAACAGCATGCAAAAATGATCTTCAGGATATTTTTTCAGAAATAAAAAATCTTCAGGATCAATACAAAATCAACAGTATGCAAAATGCCACAGTAATACAGATGAATAGTGCATGAAGATGGTAAGGTTTCACGCAAGATCAACTTACCAGTGGGAGTGATCACTTGCTTCTCTGTAAATGGTAGGTGTCCCAGACCATGCTCAACTACCTGGGAACGCATCAAAGATCTAACAAGTGAATAACAAGGGGAAAAGTTGGAATCTACTCTTGATCCTTAGATTAACTCCCACATGAATAATACATGATCTGCCAAGTTTTTAGGGAACTTCAGACATACAGCATCTAGCTTGGAGGAAGTAAAAAACTACAAAGTGAAACCGAGAAATATAAAAATTACTATATGGTTCATCAATTTTCAGACACTTAAGCACATCATGCTTTCTCCACTATCCCCCAACCCCTCTATCTCCCTCCCTCCTTCATTCCCTCTCTCTTCCCTTCCTCTAAAGCCAAGACATCAAATAGATGCAATCGAGAATGAATAATATTGTTGCAAGTTGCAACAAACTTTGTGTTTTCACAGGAATGCTTCTCTGATCAGCCACAAATGTATGTGCTTGACCAGGACATGAGGAGAAGGCAAGATGGAATAGACTGACCGAATAGCAAAAGAAAACACACAAAAAAATAGAGGAGAAAACAACAAAGTTAAACCCACCAAACGAATTAGCCGGTCAGCATAGAAAACAAAGTCATGTTTTGTTGTTTGAGAGTCACGTATAAGGGTATGCATGCCACGTATCTGCAAGACAAGATAGATGGTACTTTGATAAGCAATCACGAGCACAGCATTTAAAGTCAAAGAAGAACAGCTTATATCAGCAATGAATTGCAATAAGCTTTAGATGCCCACAAGGAAAAGCAATATAATTCTTACGTCGATGAGTTAAGATAGAACAAACCTGAAAAGTTGATTGAATAACGTATAAGTTGGGGTAAATTTTGCAGAGATCATGTTGGCCAAGTTTGGTCCGAATATGTTGCATAATCAAATCAATTGCCACATGATTATCACCGCCACGGGGAATAATGATATCTGCGTACTTTTTTTATGGAAGTATGAAGTCATCAAAAGCAGGCTTCACAAATTTGGAATACTGCATCAAACAATTAAGAGTCAATATTCAATTACCAAAACTTTAGCAAAAAATACACTAGACAAGAAAACAGCTGAGGAAAATGTGACTAGCTCAGTTCCAGAAATAAATTAACTAGGAGTCACTTCAACTGGCCACCAAGCCACATGAAGCCGTCTTTCACAACATTGCTACTAGGGAAACAAGTACATGATATTGAAAATAGACTGACCTGATCAAGAACTGTAGCAATATCTCTACCTTTCTCACCAGTATCACGCCTTATTCTCCTCGCCAGCTGTACATCAGCATCTGCACTGAAAATTAAAAAATGAAAACGGAGAAGCCTCTCACCTTTTACCCCCATCTCCTCCCATTCTAGACTAATAGGATTCGCTAACACGAGGAATGAAAATTACTTACAATACCATTGTATTATACGTCACCAATCCTCATTGAAACTCAGAACCAGGTTAAAACAAATGGTCAAAAGAGAAGTATTTAGCATCGTTACGGTGTATTTCGAGACTGCGATTAACTCAAAATATACACGGTATGGAAGTAATCCATAATTAATGATTACAGTGAATGTATACCTACAACTTTTAGGACAAACAAAAGAATGAAAAAGTGAGCTGGTCAAAAGGGAAGAAACATGACAACCTGTGTCGACAAATATCTTCATGTTCATCAACTCTCTAATACGAGGATCATGAAAAATGAGAATTCCTTCCAAAATTATAACATCCGATGGATTAACCTGCATATTTTTAAAAGCAATGACAATTTAGAACTGAACTATTATGTGAGGGAAGCAATCAGATTCTAAAACAATGTGGTCATAAAGTTGGGCACAAATACTAGCATAAAATCCATGAATATTTAAACTAGTATTACTCCATTTGTCCCTTCATTTTCAGTACATCTATTACTGGGTTTTGCATAAACTGAAACGAGTCTGATGTAGCTGAGTCCAATAGGTTCCAAGAAAATATACCCTTCTTGCAGGGGAAACATCACTTTTGGAACTCTTGAAATCATACTTGGGAATATCTACAGCCTGTCCATGCCTCAGCTTCTCCATGGCAGATAGCAGTTGATCATTGTCAAATGCATTTGTTAGTTAAAATTCAAAAGGGTCGATTAATTGGTTGTGGGGCACATACTCTATGCTACATGAGAAATTAGATTACAAAACCATACAACTCAGTGTGCTAGTTATTTTCTTGTCTTTAGCAGCTCAAAGGTGCCTCCAGAATATAAGCTCAACATCATTATGGATGGAAATCGCAATATAAGACAATTGAGCCAAGTCCATTACATGAAGCACTACAGTAGAGTACTAGAGTTACTTCTTAGAAGCTTATCAAATAATTTGGCCATTACAAGTCTTCAGATTTGAGATTCTTCCTGATTCAACAGACATCAATACCAATGGGCTAGGGCGAAAGTGAGTCTCTACTCACCAGGATGGTCAAAGTTGTATTCATGGACCCGTTTAAGTTCTTCTTCTGTGAGATTGAAATAAAAGGAGTCCTGCCCACCAGAAGAGATAACACATTTGATTCAGAAGGAATCAACAGAGCTGAAGAATTAAACTTTGTGCGCCCTTCCAAACAAAGTACCGACTCTTTGTGACACTAACACCACAAAAACATAGACAAGAGAGGTTGATGAGTAGCTTTCCGTTTACCATGTAATTAATCACAACATAGTATGCATCGCTTGAGAAACAAGACCCAAAAGGTAAGATTAAGGGCACAAAATAAGAGCTCTATCTATGTCATAAAGATAATTGAGTTTCAAACACAGAATCTTTCATTTCACAAAAGCTTCCATTTTCAAATCAACTCCATTGGCTGATGCAATAACTCCCAACAGGCAACTCAATTACCTGATTAACAAGTACTACACGCTGATCATGCAGCTGCTGGATTATCATGTCGCACACTGTAGTTTTCCCAGAAGCTGCTCCTCCAGCAACTCCTATATAACAAAACATGTTAAAATACGAAACATGAACAAAAAAACAGCGAAATATTGGGAAATGCAAAGAAAACCCAGATTGCGAATTTTGACTGTAGATTTGATTAACCAGAGAGATTTCCCTAACTTGCTGACATCAGTATACTAAATATCAAGACAAGCAAAATCTTTAGTTTTCTCATCCAAACATACTCCAGCTTTGTAAGTGTTCTTAATTCCCAAAAGCAGGGAACAACAGTATATATTACAGCTTATGCTGCATTTCGGGAGTTGTCGTGAAATTGCTAGAAACTTTTTCATTTTCCAATCCAGTAAAATATGGGGTGCAGATTTGAGCTGAACAGCATTGAACACTCACCAATAACAAAAGGTTCATTGTAGATCCCACTGGCCGAGGTTGTTGTCTGTCCATTACTTCTAGCCCCCAATGAGCCATCCATATGAAACCCGGAAAAATGTGCACCTGAGGATGCCTCAATCATATCCACAACTGATTTTGAGCCCATAGCCAGAGTCCTACAACAGCACGACAACGAACTATAGACTTGTGACTGACAGCAGACTGATCCATTCTTGCACTCAAATCAACTTGCTGAATGCATGAACGACCCCTACCGCAACAGGACCGGTATCGCAGTCACACTTTGCATTCACTTTCTACATGCACAACCAAATCAAAGGTACTTATATTTGCCACAGATCTTCTATTCCATAAAGGTGTTCAATGCCGTGATAGTCACTGCTTCTGAGTTGCTCTCCCACCACCATAAAAGCATTAACAACTCCAATGACACGTGAACACGATAACAACAGATTCCAAGAAACACAGTCAAACTTGACACTGGCTCAACTCAGCTCAAAAACAGAGGGAAAAAAGCCTCCAGTGCATGAATCCAAGTAGAACCACAACTTAACATGCTGATCAAGCAATCAATTGTGAATATAACAAAGAACCGTTGGTAGAAACTTCAACAAGCAAACAGTGGGGAAATTATTGACATTTCCAATACGCCGCGAACACGGTACTAGATTCAATGAACTCTACCAATAATGTTTTGGAGATTCATGAGAAAAAAATCAGAGACAGAAGCAACAGAATGGAATATGCAAATGCAGATTCTGGAATATACCTGTAAAAAAGCTCAAATCGGAGATCGAGTAAACGGAGGTGAATATAAATAAGGTAACTCTTGAGGCTTTCTTCTATAATCGGCCGATGCCGACGAATTAGTGTGGCGGCGGAGGGAGTTGCAGGAGAGGGGCGGTGACTGATCTGAGGTGACGGCGGCTGCCTCGGCTCTCTCTCTCTCTCTCTCTGCTAAAAGGCGGGTCTCTTTCTCTGGTAAATCATTCGTGTCAAACCAAAGATCAGCGGTTTTCTCTGTTTCTAAGCTTGGGCTCGGAAATTAGAAGCAATAGCGTTATTCTGCTAATTGGTTAGCAGATACTAACAGGGTGGGATATAGGCCACGTCGCCGAGCCACCATCGGAGGGTAAGGGGTCGCCGGCGCTGTTCTAAGAGGGGGGGAGATTTTTTGGGCCAAGCCGAGCCACTTTTGGGAAAAGTGGGGCAGAAATAAAGAAAAAAAACAAAAACCCAAATTTCAAACCCAAAACCCAACAAACCCGCGTCAGCCATTCTCTCTCCCCTCTCTCCAAGTTTCGAACCCTCTCCCTCTCTTTTTCTTCTTCTCCCGGAAATCGCAGAAAACCACCACCAACAGTGGCGACGAGGTCTGCGCCGGCGACGAGGAAAGCGACGACGGCTGTGAGGTCGGCGACCGCTTGTTGGTTCTCCCGCCGACAACGACGTTGATGCTGGACCGACCGAGGAGGAAGAAGACGCCGCCGACGAAGAAGAAAGAAGAAGAGGGAGCCGACTTCGCCGACGAAGAAGGCCGCCGCCGTCGCCGCCGATAGTGGGAGGTAGAAGAAGAGGTCACCCGGATATGGTTCCCCCTAGACTGCAGTTAAGTCGGATTGCAATTTACCAAATTCAGTTTTCATGAAGGTTATACTGCGGAAGGTTCTTAACTAGCCTGAAGTCTCGACTAAAGGTCTCCAGACCCTCCCAATCTGAGTCTCTAGCGGGCGACTAACCTCCACCGGAGTAAACAGATTGAGGCCCTAACGAACCAAACCTCCACTACCGAATTGAATTCGGTACAGAATAGCGAATTGGCTCCTCGACTAAAGTCACCAATTCGCCACCTTCGATTAAGGGTACTCTATCAACCTAGGCAGATATTCTCATTCTAGGTTAAAGCAGAAACAACAGGAATTTGATCAGGATTCAAGTCATTCAATCATTCAAACCTCAATCGAATATAATCAATTCACAAATTCCGTACTTGGGTTCATACAATCAGACCTAGCATACAAATCTAGGGTTCCCCATACCCAGATGAATGGGGGAAACTACTCCATAGAGAAAGAAGCAAAAGCAGATTCAGACGCGGAAATCATACTGTGAAGATGGATTTCTGCTCCTGGACGTTTAATCGCACTTCTCCAAGCTCAAGCCGGGCTCCAATGGTGTTGAAGATCGATCTATGACGCTTGGGAACTCTGGTTCGTCGCTTTCTCTCTCTAGGTATCGCTTTCTCTCTCAAAAATTCGGAACCCCCCAATGTTGGCCTTCTTTCTCCTTAAATTGACTGCCTGGTCGCGATACCCGGTCGAAATACCCGGTCGGGTATTTTGGGTTTCGACCGGGTATTATCGCAGCGCACCGTTTCGTCTTCAGGGAAAATCCCGGTCACTCTCCATAATCCCCGACCGGGGATTTTGGCATTCTGCCCGGGCCCCTCTCTGTTTCTCGGGCGCCCAAAACGGTGAATACCCGGTCGGGTATTTGGCCACCCGACCGGGTATTATCCTCCTGCGGCGTACTGTGTCCCAACTTCGCTCCTTTCGACCCAGAACTCGTTTCTCCGCCTCGATTCCAACGCCGGGACCTGAAATATGACATAAACACGTACCCTAGCGTGAAATCGGCTTAAAACACGAGATTCCTCATCACAAACGGCTTCAGAATAGGGGTGAAAACATGTATAATTATCGGTCTATCAGTTTTGTTTATGGATTTGATAATTTATGGTTCATGCAATTCGATTTAGGGTGTTTAGGGTTTTGATTCTAGATTTCCAGATATTGTGTCCGTGGGATTCGAATTTGGGGGTTTAGGGTTTCGTTTTGGGGGTTTAGGGATTCTTTTTTCGATTTGTAGATTTAGGGTTTCATGGATTCGAATATGGGTGTTTAGGGTTTTGTTGGATACGATTTTGGGGAATCTAGGTATTGTTTGTTGATTCCTTGATTAAATGTTACATGGATATTAGTTTTGTCACTTCCGATACTTATTCTGGTCATTTTATATATTGTTTCATTATGGTTTCTCGAATTCCATTTTGGGGGTTTGTTGGATACGATTTTGTTGAATCTGGGTATCAGTTATCTCCGTTTTGATACACTTTTGCTTTACTACGATAATAAATGTATGTATTGGCAAAAAAAATAATCTAATGTGTCTGATGTGTGGATATCAGTTCTGTTAAGTTGGATGCTTAACTGTTCGTTTTAGTTATTTTTCTGGTTATTATGGATATTTTTTTCATGGATATCAGTTATCTCCATTTCGATACACTTTTGCTTTACTACGATAATTGTATTGTATATAAGTGTGCGTTTTAGTTATTTTTCCAAGGATTATGGATATTTTGCTTAATATATAACTGTGTTTCAGGAACAACCCGGGATGAAGAGAACGAAAATGGTTGCATCGAGATCTCGTCAAGGAGAAAAATCAAGGCAGCCGCTGCCTGTGCTTTATCCGGATCTCATCGTCCAGATTTTGACCTGGCTACCTGTGGCTTCGCTCCTCCAGTTCAGGTGCGTCTCCAAATGGTTCAAAACCCTAATTTCCAGTCCCGATTTCGTGAAAGCACATCTGAGAAGTATGAAAGCGTTGTCGGATGTCAAGCCGAATTGCAAAGTTTTTGCTCTGAAAACTTCGTCATGGAGGAGAATCGAGGATTTTAAGTATGGGGTTCCATTAGATACGGAGGCGGATGCAAAGTTTTTTGCTGGCCGTCTTTACTATCGAGTGTCAAGTTCTGAGGGTGAAAGGAATAAGCGGAGGGACACCCTAGTCTCACTTGATCTTGCAACAAAAAAATATAACAAGGTGAAGCTACCTGAATTTTATGGCGCTGGTACTCGTTGGGACATAGAATCATTTGTTGATCGTCTTTGTGTTGTGCAATTTGATGGTTTCCGTTCGTGTGAGGTATGGGTGATGAAAGAGCCTAGGGTGACAGATGCTTGGACTAAGTTGTTTAGTGTTGATCAGGCTGTGGTCGATGCAATGTTATACACTCCACTTTACATTTCAGACAGTGGTGAAGCTCTTTGGAATAACGGTGAAGATTTGTTCATTTACAATTCCAAGAACAACACTATAAGGTTTCCTGCATCGAGAGGCTTGTCCGATCGCGATGGTACTCCTGTGATCTACATGGAGACCTTAGTTTCGCCAAACATGGATAATTAGCAAAGTGGGGTAAGTAGGTTCAACTCGACTAGATCATATTCATTGATAATCTGATCCATACTCTGCATTGTTTGTAGTTATACTAATTCTGCATTTGAGCTTCATCACCTACACTGCATGATGACTAAGGACCAAGCTTTCCTTGAAACATTGAAAACCTTTGGGCGGGAATCATCTTATTGCTTTCCACTTAGTTAGAACTATGCTTGTTGAATGTGAAATTATTCAATCCACTGTTTCGCCTTGAACGATTCTGCAACCTACTTGCTGATTCCTTTTTCTGTTCTATGTTACTATATATCCTCCTTTGACTTGAAACTTGTGGCCAGTTGTAGGTACCATTAACAATACCGGTTGGAATTTTGACTACCCCGTAAGATCACCCCGGAGAATGCTATGCTATGGTGATGGAATGGAGCAAGGCAGTTTGTGAGTTTCATTTGGATTTGCATGTGTGATGTAGTACAAACTCATCCTAGTGGTAGAGTATTTTGTGTTGAATCCGTGGTGTACCTGTCATTTCAGTTGTTTCGTGCAGCTAAGAAAGTTAAACCAGCTGACTGTTTGGGGCTGATTGTTTCCCATCATAGTCGGACTCAGTCTCTTTGCGCCTTTTGTCAGCCAACAAACTGCATGTATGAAGAAAACCAAATTGCCCAGACTAATATCCATTGACAAACAGAGCAAATATCCAAACACCACCAAAATGTATCACAGCATCACATACAAATACCAGAAAATAATCTACAAATGTCCTTAAGGGGCTAAGTAATATCCATAAATTTCCATCTAGTATTTGGATAACGTACCCGGTAAAGTGGATGAAAAACTCGTCGAGATTATGTTTCGGTTTCAAGAAGAGTCGCACATGTGAATTGCACGACTCACTGGCTTGCGTTGTGAACATTCCCGCTGTGAATTGATCTCTCAGATATAAGGAACACCATTGATGTCGAAATTTCTTCAAATATTGCAACCATTGGTGGCCATCGACAGTTTCACTACCGGGAAAACAATCCGAAACCATAGATGCTCCATGCCTCATCAAACTCGGTCTCGCTATCGACGTAGTAGAAAAGATAAGCAAGATGATTTTTGGAACTTATGCCAAAATATCCACACAACCCGGAAAACAATCAAAATATTTTGAATGAATACCACTATGTTAGTAAAAAAGTATTACATCTAGGAAAGACAAGTATCCACAACACACAAACTAATATCCACTATTTGTACCCTAACCCTAAACCCTAAATTTTAAACTCTATCACCCTAATCACTAAACACTAAAAAAATAAAACTATTATTGTTTTCCCAAGCTGAGAATATTCAAAGGTTCCACACAAATATCCAAACACATGAACTAAGAGAATATTTCCTCAGGTTCAAATAAATATCCACACAACCCGGAAAAAAATCATAATATTTTGAATGAATATCAGTATGTTAGAAACAAGTATTACAACTAGGAAAGACAAGTATCCACAACACACAAACTAATATCTACTATTTGTACCCTAACCCTAAACTTTAAACTCTATCACCCTAATCACTAAACACTAAAAAAATAAAACTATTATTGTTTTCCCATCTGAGAATATTCAAAGATTCCACCCAAATATCCAAACACATGAACTAAGGGAATGTTTCCTCAAGTTCAAATAAATATCTGCACAACCCGGAAAAAATCCGCACCACCCGGATAAATATCCTCAGGTTCAAATAAACTCTATCACCCTAAACCCTAAACAATGAACACTACTAAATAAACTCTAAAAACAATATAATTAGGAAAGAATAGATATTCATACTGATCAGACTAAATCTTAAACCCTAAGAGAACCCAAACCCTTATGTTGAAACCTTAACCCTAACCTCTATACCGTAAACCGTAAACCATAAACCAAACCTAAACCATCAACCCTAAAAAATAAACTATAAACGATAAAAACTATTATTATTTAATGGGCCTTCGGCCCATGGGCCCTCGGCGGGCAGCCCTAACTAAGGTTGC